TGTTTATTTATTTATTTATTTATTTATTTTTTATTTTCAGACTTGTATGCCGCCCATCTCCCCCAATGGGTGACTCTGGACGGCTCACAATAATAAAAAAGAAGAAAAAAACACAGGTCTCTCCAAACATGGCTAAAATCTATAAATAATTAAAAAAACATATATTAAAATGCCCTAAAAACCTCCTATGATTTTAGCCCTAAAAAACCTGTAAGATGCTGGGGGGGGGACAACCCATCATCCCACCAGCCATCTCCACAGGTGCGGGCCCCCCTCTGGCCCCCAGGCCTTATATATTAAAATGCCCTAAAAACCTCCTATGATTTTAGCCCTAAAAAACCTGTAAGATGCTGGGGGGGGGACAACCCATCATCCCACCAGCCATCTCCACAGGTGCGGGCCCCCCTCTGGCCCCCAGGCCTTCTGGCAGAGCCAGGATTTGATCCCTTTCCTGAAGGCCATGAGGGAGGGGGCACACCAGATCTCAGGAGGCAGGATGTTCCATAGGGCGGGTGCTGCAGCAGAAAAGGCTCTCTGCTTAGACCCCACCAATTGAAATTCTTTGACTGGTGGGGTCTGCAACCTGCCCCTTCTGCTGGACCGAGTGGGATGAGCTGAAATGACCGGGGTGAGGCGGTTCCTCAGATAACCTGGTCCTGTGCCATGAAGGGCTTTAAAGGTAATGACCAACACCTTGAATTGGACCCGGAAACAAACTGGTAACCAATGCAGCTCACCCAACAGCGGTGTTATACATGCCCTCCTAGGGGCATTAAGAACTGTCTGCGCCGCCGCATTCTGCACCAGGTGTAGCTTCCAGATACTCTTCAAGGGTAGCCCCATGTAGAGCGCATTACAGTAGACCAGGGCATGAGTGACCGTGCGGAGGTCCTCCTGATCCAGGAAGGGGTGTAACTGCCGCACAACACGAAGTCATGCAAAGGCCCTCCTAGAACTTCCCATTCCTTCTTCTTCTTTTTTTAAACCTATTTTAATTTTTTTTTTCCAGAGAAATTAAGATAAGAAAGAGATGCCCAATCTCTTTACTGGTAGCCCCAGACGTCTATCAATCCATTCCAGCAGGAATAACATGCTCCCATATTAGGAGAGAGTAAGCTACTGACATCAATGGGGTAATTAATTTAAGTGTGTTTCATTCATTTTAATGAGTCTCCTCCAGGTATGATCACATCTTGATTGACTCATTCACTAATGAATAGTAGAGAAGTAAAACTGGATTTGCACACTATGCTATATGGATTTCTTGGTTCTTCATTAGCATGTGTGAACCTGCTGTTGGGCTTCATAAACCATGTCTTATGCCAAACCCCCATGGTTAATGCAAGCCATGGCATGACATGATGGGTGAATTTATTCTAACTGTCCTAAACTTTAGTTTCAAGAGAGTTAATGAAGTAAAGCAATAATCAAACACTGTCGATCGCTGGATTTATTGAGCGGGGGAGTCCCCACTTGCTTTTATACTTGGGGCAACAGTTCCTCTCATTCGCCTGTCATTTGAAAGCCCAGGGGAGCTGGCAGCGGCCATCAGAACGCCGCCTCTGCCCAGAGTAAGCCACGCACCGCCCCTTGGAAGACGCGCTTACTTGCCGACCACCACGCTGGCGTTTTCCCGCACGGCCACCTGCTGCATGCCGGCCTCCAGGAGATACCGCTCGCCTTGGGTGCAAACAACCACCACTTGCTGCGCGCCTTCGAGCAACAGCTTGCACTGACCGCCGGCCATCGTCTCGCCCGCCGCAGACCTAAGGCAGGAGCCGGGCAGCAGCCCCAGGGGGCGGAGAGCGCGGCGCAAAGTCTGCTCGGTCAGGGTCTAATGCCCTCTCCCGCCCCGGCTCTCAGGAAGGGCCGAACTTATTTGCTGGCATTCAGCACAAGGCGCAGCTCGGGCTGACACGTAGCGCTTGGTCGCCCTTTGCGTGCTTACGATCCTGTGCTGTCAGACAGAGTCGGCTTGCTTCGGTCCCAGCAATGTCGTGGGGGTGGGGGGTGCTGCCCTCTGGAATAGCCTTGCCCTGCATCCTCTACCCTGTCTGAATCAAGCGAGCCCTACACACTTGGCCCTTGGCTCCAGGCCTCGAGTTAGGGGGTTTGGTGAACCTTTTGGGTTGGAGATGATGTGGGAGGGTGGTTTTTATGTGGGATGACTGTGTTCTTTATACATAACGTTGTCTTCTTGCTTTTTAATTTTCTGAAGCCACCTAGAGTCGTGGAGCTGGGCAGCCTGAAAACTTGATAAACGAATGCAACGCAATTCACAGTAGGCTTAGCGCCACTAACATGGCTATGAACTGTAGTTTAGGGCTATAATAGACTGAATCTGCACAGTGGCATTTGGAATTGTTTGGAATGGGGTAAAAAAAAGCCATGAGAAATGGTTGAAAAAAGAAATAAATGCCCCAACCATACACACCAGCTACAGAGAAGCCACCCACTCAGGCACAAGAGGTGAAAGAACTTTTCTAAGTACAGAAGATACCTTCTGCACCAAGGAGGAAACCTGTGAATCACAATCTACTGGGAGGTTTTGAAATGGCAAATTTCAAAACCTTTGGTGCCATCTGGGATGTTTGGAAAGGAAACAAGTACATTAATAAAGAAATGGATGCACGCACACACACACACACTAATCAGCACCCATACTTTTCCCACTCTGAGGCCAGAATGAATATAAACAGAATATAGGAGGCTGTGGTAAAGCTGAGATGCTAGTCTGGATGGCAAGCTACAGCTGGCCAGGCCCTCAGTTGCATCTGCTGGAGCACCACAGGTCAAAACTCCTCTCTTGTGATAGATTTTACTTGCAGGGTTTTATTGTATGCGCTTGCTTATAATTCAAAAACACTGGAGGGTAAATCCTTAGCAAAGAGCTTAAAAATTTTTTTCAGTCCACAAAGCTTGCACCATAATCAGTGTGCTAGAGTTTAAGCTGCCACAGCTTAAGGAGGTTTTGAAATGGCAAATGGTATCCCTTTGGTGCCATCTGGGACATTTTATTGTTTTCTCAAAGCAATCTTCATGAGTTCCAAACTGACCAGTATTTTGCTTAAACTGTCAATCACTCAATTTCTCTCTTGCTCTCTAGCAGGCATGCTCAAAACTATGTGCTTGAGTGAGCATTACTGGCTCAACCTTAGGCAAGAGCATCACAGGAAATAACTCCTGTAGAGTTTGATGGAGCTGATGTACTCCCTGGTCCATCTTTAGGCTCCAGTGAACTCTGAGTTTACTTCTGGGGTGATGTACATTAGATGACAAGAAAAACTTGATTATGGAATTCAGAAAGGTGGCAGTTTTAAAGCAAAACCCAGAGTCTTGTGGAATCTTAATGAGAGTCATATTTACTCTTCCTGTTCAGAGCACAAACCTGTCAGAGCAACAGAAAGGAAAGTATCCAGCTGCATCTACAATATATTACTGTATAGCCCTAGCTAGGTTTACCCATTGTATTTTAACTACTCTACAGAAAGGGAGGAATCTCAAACTCTATGATTAATCTTAAAGGCAATAATCAATTACAGGAAAAATATTCTCTTTTCCTGGCAATGCACTTGCACTTTAGAGATTGAGGGATGTGCTCGACCCGAGCCATGAGCTCTCTTTCGTAGTTCAGCAATGCTAAGAAGTGGAGACGAAGCCGCAGGACTAGGTAGCCGTTCCGCCCTTTTTCATTGGCAGAGTCAAGATCGGGCTTTTGGAAACCGCCTAGATTCACTGATACAGCCACCGTGACCGCAGTCCCGACTACTAGAGCCGAATAAAA